TATAGATGATTAACAGCCGTTTTTTTTTATCCTGAATACCTGCAATTAAACGGAGTTGCGATAGCGGCAGCGTAGGTACTACATAAGACATAACATAATAATATAATATACCGTCAACATGTATGTACCTATATGTATGTGATATGTATGGTTAGGTAGTATGTATATACACAGTAAACACAATATATAGTATAGTGCTATTAAATTACCCGTAGCCTTACAGTCGCTTATGAACCGTATTTACTATAATGTCGCGTAAATTATACGATAAATATATTATTATGAATGTATCAGTGTCTGTGGACTGCGTAAGCGATTGCGATTCCCCTTCCTAATATATTTTTTGAATTTCATTTATGGTTTAAGTTCAAGTGTCCAAGTATTATGTTGGGATGTTTTACTGTCCTATAGTAGGAGGTTAAGAGGATGGTGTTGTGCTATAAGGGATGGGTGACTAACACATATACGCAACTTTTAAATTTCGTTAATATGCGACGTCCGAAATTGTACGATAAATTACGTCGAACGCCGAATTGCGTTTGAAACGGTACCCAATGGCATGAACAAGAAGTTGTCCCGCCGACAACAAAATAATACTAAATGATTTTAAATTGAGTTTAGTTAACTGCAAAGCATTGTAAGTATTTATTAAACATTTTCAAAATTTGACTATTAGGTACTCTGCAGTGATTGTGAAGACTTTGTTTCCTTAACATATTTTATTGTGTAGGTATTTATAATTGTGATGACTTAAAAATTTACCGATCACTATGTCATTCATAATTATTGTTAAACGAATTCCTCAGAGCGGATCAAGTGGCACTATTATAAAGAATTTTTTTTTAGTTAGGTGACATCATAAAATTCCCATGCGTATTAAATATTATAAAATCAAATAAACTTCAAGTAACACTTATAATATATATTTGCACAACCAGTACTATAGCAACTCCTTACTAATAATATTATGTATTAGTATTTTGTAGAGTGGATTACTGATAATAGGCACATTATACAGATTTGTAGATTTAATTTAAGATTTTTATCTTTTGCACCCAAGATGACTCAGATATCTAGTTATTATAATATATTATTATTATATATATATATTATATACGCTTTCACTGTCTACTGATATTCTATCCAGAATTCCAGTGAGATTGAAATCGATTTGTAACCATCAACCTAACCAGCATAAAGTAGGCATGTATACCTACACTCGAGTACTGGTATGTATATAAATGTTTGTACACGCGTACTTAATAGTAATATATAATATAATACGCAGCTATAATATGCGTTACACCGCGATTTCTGGGATATTAACCGCCAACGATAATAATCATTGGGTGTGGGTATGGTTGTTTTGGCGTTTGATACAGAAACCTTTATTGTGCCATCGCGTTAAACGGTGGTTAGGTATGGAGGTACGATTTTAATCATATACGTCATCGGGTCGGAGACGGACGAATTTAGACAATTATTTACTTCCGGTAACGCACGCAGACGACCACGTCGCCGCCACGCGAATGATGAACGGTCTGTACTGATGGATATAGATACGCATATTGCCATGTTATGTACATACATGATGACGTGGCGGCGGCCGTGTTATTTTTATTATTAGGGCACTGATTTTTGGGTAAATAAAAAATATTTTTAAAAAAAAATTTGTGTTTTCGGGCCATCGTTTAAATATTTAATTATTTAATCAGGTGATATAATTTTTTTTAAACGGCCATTTATGAAACAGTGTTTTTATGAACTAGGTACTACTCGTATAACAAAGTCAACCAGTTGCAAAACGACGCATGTCCATTCATGATTTTTATCGTTTGTTTGAACATTCATACGTTTTACAAGTGGTCGACAAAATATCGACTCAATAATTCATCTTGAATTTTATGATCAATAAGATAATTGATTTTAAGCTACTTATGTAGCGTTGAACATTTTCAAACTTAAAACCTCACCTAAACTCCATTTCAAACTCAACGACGTGTATTACCTAAAAATGTGATTATTTTCACATGTTTTAGTCGTATTTACATTATTTAATTTATTTTTTACTTCGAACCTCCGACAGGGCTATGTATTTACTTGATTTAATTTTGACAGAATAACAGAACTTTCGACCGATAATTTTAAGGTTTTCGGTAGATACCTTCAAATACGTATATAATAATGTTATAATACATAAATGAATACTACGAACATGTTATTACGATCGTTATAAATAGGTGCTAATAATATCGTGTACAGTACGTCACAAGGTATCGTGCTGGAACAGATGTCCGGCCCTCGCGTGATCCGTGAACAATATTTGAAAATAATTTCGTAAAAAATACTACTATTGTGGTAAAAAAAAATAAAATCGAAACGGACAGCGAGGAGGAGGCGGCGGCGGCGCGGATCGACACTGATACAGAGAGATGCTGAATTGATCCGAAGGCCACAGTTGTTATTTTGACCCCTACAGGAAATAATTTATAACACAATATATAGCGCACGCACTCGCACACACATACAATCACGCACACGCATATAGGTACAATGCAACGAGCAAAATGACGAACCGTGCAGTGTCGAATTACGTACGACGCGTTGGTCCTTGATTCTTCAAACCGTCGTAATGATGGCGATATCATGTGCATAATAAAATTATATTTATACGTTTGGTTTGGACGTTTTCGCAAGGAAGACGTATCACATTATACGTTACTGGGAAAGCCGGTACGGATTTGGTCCATATCGGTAGCACACACCACCTGTTTGTAACGTACTTGGATACCGTTTAACGTGATAATTATTATAATAATATAATATATTATCCACACTGCACGTCTGTCGTTGCAAGTGGTGGATGTGGAGTCCGACGACAAACCCTTTCTTCTTCTCTCCGTGTTGGTTAATACTGTTGTAATAGGATTTTAAAACGAAAAAAAAAACGATTGTTTCAAATTTCAACTGTACTTGTTGTAATTATATTATGCTAAATCCGTATGATAAAATCCGATTTCAAGGATATTCTACACAGCGTGTGGATTCTGTAATTAAACACCGTAATTAGATCTGTTCATCTGCTTTAAGATCAATAAGATTTATTATTTTTAAATTTAAAAAAATAAATAAAATGTTGCCAGATGACACTATATGCGCACTGACACTGCGTACCAAGCAGTACCTATACAAGTCGGTCTTTCGATATGGCTTAATAATATGCTGTGTAGAAATGTTACTGTTGTAACTCAAATAATATACCCAATCTCGTCGCTTAATAATAATTTATTCGAATATTATTAATGTGGTAAATTAATCAATAAAATGTTTATTATATTATATTTAATTTATACAATAATGTATTTTTAATATTGTATTTCATCTTATACAAATTGTATTCACCTAATACAAATCTAAATAAGTCAAGAAAAGTGTAGAATTATTATTAAAATACTTAATTAATATTTTTATATAGTTAAATAATATTACATTTTGATTGTTTTTGCTTGAATTATAGTATATAAAACGTATATAGGTTATATATTATATTATGTAGGTCTTAACTCTTAATAAAAAAATTCAATATATTGTGTGTTCTCATGACAAAATATTGACACCCCCTTTCTCCATAACTATTATAGCGCCTAAGGTAAGCCCCACTGCTAAGTGTTGTATTTCGTCAAAATTTGAACTTTAGGTATACATAAAAAAATGTTGTGCATAATATATGTTTCAATATTTTCCAATTATTATAAGAAGAGTTTATGAAAAACCTTCTCATACGTTTCTAAGATTTAATTTTGACTTAGAAATATTTTTACCAACGTATAAATAAAAAAAAAAATATTAAAAGTAAAACATTTCAAATTCATAAATATAGCTCTACAATAGTCGAGATATTTTGAAAATTATGTCATTGAATCATAACAAAATTGATTTAATCAAAAACTGGTAGGTATTGCGTATAAATTCTCGGTTTTCCGTAATATATTTTTTTAGTCTTATTTCAAAAGTAGGTGCTTACTGCGGATTTTTTTTACTTTTGACCCAAAGTACCAATACTAGTTCCAATTTGCTATTTACAGAAAACACTCTAAACATTTAAAATTGAAGCATTTTTACAGTTCCAGAGGTGATATCCGTCACAACACAAATTAAAAAACAAATACATCATTGTAAAACCAATGTATATTCATTGCACCTACTCATAATCTAAACAAAAATCGTTTCCTTATTTCCACATATAGCCATATAAGTAAGCAGACTTAAATATATCTATAATAATGTAATAAAGAAAGCGATAGAAAACTACGGTCATAATATATTAAAGTTATATGAATAAATATAGTTATTATACCTAATAAAGTCTATTACTTTATATACATTCTCAAATAAGGATAAACAGGGAAGGGGATTCCACGACACGGGACTCCCCCAACACGCAACTGCGCCTCTCACTTACGTACGTAACAAAATCCACATTAAGTCCCCACGCAGTATCTCATTTGGAAGTTAAGTTGGAGAGTGTTACTATGAAAATTATTGCGACGCTTTTTATACACATATTGTACGCAATCTGTTGCAGTAGGTGTTGGATAGGTCGTTGTGAAAGAACTCGAATGCACATAAAATCCACATCGAGTGGACCGCAGGGCCTGAATCAAACATTGGCGTAGGGTTCCATGGGTGATTTAAGTTAAGACCCCCTAAAAACAGATAGGTAAATAACCGAAATATCATATAATATATTTACCAGGGATGAGCAACTCAAAGTTACTATAGGACCATTTTTAGAACTTTAAAATTTCGAGGGCTAGTCGGCTAGAGAGCACAGGAAGCAAAAAAAGGTCATTAAAATTTAAAACTTACAAAACATGATTTAATGATTTGGGATGTGTAATAGATGCGATAATTCAGCAAAATCGACTTCTATTTCTGTAGCTTAAAGTTGAAACACGTAATAGATGTCATAAGGTTTCATCTGTTAGGCGATTTCTTCCTTACATTTTATTTGGCTTATGTTGGATAATGTACATTTTCATATGTAAATACTTAGTTCCAAATATGCATACCATTTTTAGTGCGAAATCTAGCATAAATGGATATCTTTCAACTGGTAATGTTATCCAAAATAATATATCAATCTCTTTTGTACATAAAATTGGATCTGTTTGCAACTCGCATATTTCTAATTGAAGTGAAGTATCTTGCTTTGGAATTTCAACTGTCATCGGATTATTAAATACATTTATTTGAGGACACGTAAGTTTAACTTCTTCAAATCGTTTTTTGAATTCTAAAACTAATTCATCTCAGTGGGCAATGCAATGTTAAAAATTAAACTCATCGTCAAGTTCTATTTTTTTAACTTCACAACATAGAAAATTTATCAACTACTTTTCAACAAATACATTTTTAAACACTTCCAATTTTTTTTTTGAATCCATTTAAAAACCCAATAATTTGAGAAATCGTTTAAAATTGCTAAAATTATATAAAGTAATTTTAAAATATAGCATGGAGCTAGATACAAAACGGGAATCGTAAGTTCCTACACGAGAGTAGCAGGTAAAAAATTACAAATTCAACATATAAGATGTGTAAATTCCTACACAAACATAAAAGTGAGGTATGTAAGTTCCTACATGGTTGAAAAATATATTATTATATATAATTATACAAAAATATCATAACCTAGGTAGGTAGCTATAAGTAGGTACATTTAATTTTCATACACTTTATAATTCAATAATTATTATTAAAATAATATACTATATTTTATATAATAATGTTCTATAACTTATCAAACTGATGATACTGTTTTAAAAAAAATAAAATTTCATAACGGTATTGTTTGATAACTTAGAATATTATATAAAATTTCGTAGCTGTATGTTTTAAAAATTTGATTATTGAATTATAAAATGTATGAAATGTACCTATAATATAATATATAATAATACATTTTTCTGCCGTGTAGGAACTTGCATATTTCATTTTCTACTATATTCTTTACCAATTTAGTTAGCAACGACAACACTATGCAGAGACAACCATAGGTACCTAATAACGATGTGATAATATTAATTTATTATACAATTATATGGATATTATATTATAATTAATAAAAACAATAATAGCAGTTAATTAGGGATTACACCATTGCGTCGTCCCGAGCCGATATCGAATGCTCAAGCTTACAACACAATATAAGATATATTATTTCCTAATACTCTTTTAGAAAAATAACTATAATAATTAATACTAAGCGTTACAAAAGTATAACTATGGATAGGTATGTCTCCACTAAGAAATAGCCTCTAAAAACGTTAGGGTTCGGTCTATGGAGTTCTAGAAACACATTTAGAACTTCTACAGTCCGCCACAACTACTACCACAGTATATTAAGCAACCCATATTATACAGTTAAATTTTCAGATATTAAATTTGGGAAACTATTGAGTTCAAGGTAAATAAAACAATGATTATTGTATAATTATTATATTAGGAACCAACTTGCGTATTTAACTAACAACTTGAAGTTTGAACACAATAAATATTTTATATTAGTACTCAACCAATCATGGTATATTTATATAATTTATATAATGTACACTAACTGTCTGACTAAATACTAATGAGTCATGACTAATTTAGATAATTAATAATTTGTAAATATTCACACCTAAATAATTGGACAAATAAAATTAAATATTGATATTCAACTCATTCAATCATTTATATAGATATTATTCAAATATTCAATATTTCTATATGAGAACGATGACATACGCAGAACACTTCATAATTAATGACTTGCAATGATTGTTCGTTAAACAATTGATATAACTTAATTATATTTATTTCAGGTTTATATTGATAAACGCGAATTAACTACTGTATACCTACATTATGGATATATCGTCAGCTGATTCATCATCCTTGAACGGGATCCAGTATCTGGACGATGAAATATTCATATTTAGGTGAACAAATTATTAACACAGGGGATGATGGGTGAGAGAGAAAGTTGATTATATGGTAAGAGTCACATTATTCAGCATATTGTGTTAAATTTCGAAATTCAAAAATAATTTCCAAGTCAATGCCTCTCATTATAACTGTACAATAGCACCATGGGTAATAAACCTTGTTTATTATTTAGTTATTGCTTTGTATGTACATAGGAATCAATTTTTAAGTAAAAGACATTGTATTATTTGAAAATACTTGATTCGTACTACGAAACAAGGCTGGACAAGTAAACAAATTTTTTTAACTCTTACAGAAGCACACATCATAAAAAAAGTTTGCTTAAAATTATTATTGAATATTAAAATATTTGAACTTAATATTTTAACTATTGAAAACAATTTAGTTAAAATTCAATGAAAAAAATATTATTTAAAGAGATATTTTAGGATATACATTAGATATACATATATAATAGCTGTATAACGTCATTGGGCCGGGCTCGATATAAATGCCTATCTTACAAGTGAAAAAGTTGCTCAATTTACACAACGATTTACCACCCTAAAATTGTATTTTTGCTGTTTGATTTACGATTTACGTATAAATGTATGATTTTTTGTGATGATAGAAGTCTAGAATTGCATAACTTTTAGTTTTTTTTAAATATTAAAAATACTAAAATAGATAATGGCTGGTTGCGCTACATTGTGTCGCGATAAGGGACTGCTGCAGTTACAAAAGTATACGTTACAAAAATGTATTTTATAATATTTTAAATATTTCAAAAACGGTAAATACTCAAGACAAATTCTGGTTCCACCTACGTCTTAAGTGCATAAAAACACATCATATTCGTACAAAATAACTTCGAAAATGTTCTTACCGATAGTAATATAGTGTATATACTATAAATGTAGTAACTCTATAGTTAATATAGAAAAATGAAAGTTAAATTTAAAGTTAAAAGTTAATTAATTTTCTTTTACTCATAAAAGTTATAAGTTAAGTAGAGGAAAAAAAGTGAACTTAGTTGTTAAAAGCCAATTACTTTTTTTTATAACTAAACAGATTTTTATCTTTGCCGAAACACAATAACCAAATTTGAAAAAAATACATTCATAAAAAAAAAATTATACATATTAGATTAATAAATTAATTTTCTTTACAGAAGATATTAATTATTTAGGTTGGTTTTTGGTTAGGTAATATTTAATAGCTAAAAACTCATATACATTCATTGTCTAAAATTTGCTCGGTAAATATTCACAAATTCAAATTACAATGTCATATTTCTATATAATATTCCTATCACGCTGTATAGTTAGAAAAGAACAATGCTTAGGTTTGCCTTATATAGATAGTAGTTGCATGTATTTATTGTTTTTATGAGTTATGTTATTAATAATAATATATTATATTAATTTAATACAATATAATAATTTATCGTATCATGGTAAATTAATTTAAAAAATGACTTATTAAAGGAGCATTATATAGAAACGATCCAAAGAGCATGAATATATATATATATTTTTTTTTTTTTTCACATTATTATCTCAGTTAAATAATAGTGATTCGATAATTAACAAATTAATTTATAATCATAATATTGCTTGTTATAACATGCTTGTAACTTGTTGATATGTTTATTTTAGTTTAGATAAAAATATTCTGTGGATACTAAATATATACCTATCTAAATTTAATATAATATATCAAGAATTGTTTCGTATGACTAAACATTATATAATTTTATCTTCCTACATCTAATCAAAAATATAAGCTTTATAGCTTGAAGAAACCTTTAACTTATTATTTTTATGAGTGCCGCTTGTATAAAAAAATCAATACATTAAAAAACATGAATTGTTCCACTTAAAAACAAAAACTATTAGTTGGAATTATAAAACAAACTTTTATACAAACTGATGTGTTTTATTATAGCACGTAATCAAGTAGATAACAAAATAATTATCAATCAAACTTTTACTCTGAATGACAATTTCTTTATATTAATAAGTACTAATTTTTTTTCTTCACTATACTATTTAATAACTAACTGCTATGCAAAATCACACCAATAAGTTAAAAAAAGATAAGCCAATATATACTCGTAGTGATTAGGAATCTACATTAATCTATAGAAACAGACACAGTTAAAGTCGAGCTAGTATTTAGTCTTTTTGAAGTTCACTAATTTACTATAGAAAATCAGAAAAATCTCTCTTCTACTAAATTTTGTAGATCTTAAACCCACTGAAAAATCTAAAGAAATTTTTCAACTCCTGTCACTTTTACATACCAAAATCAAAGAACCGTAAACCCTAAAACGATAAACCCGTACCTATATTAACTGCCAAGATTATGGCCACGCTCAAAATTCCTGTGATTGCCCTTCTCGATGTGTCCGATGTGGATACAATCATCATTAAACTACCTGCCCACATGCTTGTAATGTTCCACTAAAGTGTGCTACCTAATTTATATAAATACATATATGCCCAATACCAAAACCATATCCGAAAAAATAGGAAAAAAAATCCGAAGAAAAAAAAGTCCAGTTTGATTTTTTGTTATACACCCTATGTTGGACGGATTGTCATTTTTTCCAATAAATAAAGTTTACGACGGAATGAAATTTAAGTTTGTACAGAAGAAGCCACAGAGACGTTCTTCGATTCTGCATAAGTCGATGGTATTACAGAAAATAAGGAAATGGTTTGAATATAATATTTAAAAATAATAAACTGTTATTTTCATTAGAAATATGGAACTTTCATGAGGCTACGATAAACTGTTAACATTGTGTTAACATTTTTTACGAGAATTGGAACAACCGTTTTACGCATCTTGTTGGACAAGCGCACCCAACCGTCTGGAATTTAATTTCTAAAACTCGAGCGAGAGTTAATCTAAATTTAGTAAAATAGTGGTACAAGAATTAGGTGAAGGGATTCGAGCACCAAAAAGATGAAAGTTTGGGAACATCGGTTTAAGAAACTTATGCTCAAGAGTGGCCGGTAATGAAAAATCGGTGGAAGAATTTTTAACTATAAAATTGACCATTGTATTTGTAAACGAAATAAATATTAAACAATTATTAATTTTAAACTACATTAGGTAGTTATATTATATATTATATTATATTATATATTCTTAGATCGTTCATTTTTTATATTAACAAATTATTTTTCAGTATTTTTAATTTTAAATTATATTACATATTATTTTACCTTTCATTATTTATATTATTAAT